CTCCAGGAGAGGCTGGGGTGGGGGGAGGGAGGCACACAGGGCCCTGGGTCTGCATTCTGTCTGGTGGTCCTGTCTTCCTGGCAGCCCAAGTTAGGAGTTTTCATGTTATCAGCTCAGTCATGATTGTATCTAAAGTGGAAAGTTTTTGTCATTTGATGGACAGCTCTTTTGTTAGAAATGTTAATTCATGTTTAACGTTTTTTACCATAAGAAAGAATTCAAATCATCACTGTAAAGAAGTAAAAGAAAAGGGGTGGGGGAAGAATAGAACTCCAGCTTCTCCATGTTGAAAATGAGTAATTGTGCTTGGACAAGTATTTAACTCGAGTGTAGAAAGAATGTTCTAAGTGGCCAAGTTTGATTATTTATAGGTTCTCAGGCCCCTGATTACTAAAGGCACCAACCACACAGCCCAGGCTCTCAGTGAGTGGCACTCTTTGTTTAAGTAGATGGATCTCAGTCAGGCTGCTACTTGTATTTTGCATTTGATCCCTTCTGCCAAGTTTCCTTTGCTTGTCGAAATGAATGGATTCCATCTGAAAATCACGGGATTAATAATTACATTCTAAGCTCAGTGAAATCCTTCTGTGTCACTGCCATTTTCTCTGTTTGGTGCATTTTCCCAGGAAAATAACAAAGCAAACCTACAAATTATATCAGGAAAGGGGTTTAAATTTAGCCAGCATAGCTTCCTCCCCATCCCTGTGACTCACCTCCACCGCCTGGGCCGACCTGCTGCTGAGAGCTGCTGCAATGAGCTTGGGCCAGCTGTCCCCAAGTCCTGGACCTGGTGCATTTCCTTCCCATATGGTTTGGGCTCAAGAGGCCACCCAAAAGAAACAACGCAAAAGGGCTGCCGGCTGCTTATCTGATTATTCACATAGACCCTACTTCTGTAATTTTCTGGATGCCCCTTAGGACACTGCTGTCCAGGGCAGAACTGAGTTGATTTTCACACCTCCCAGAGCCAAGCGCATATGTGTCCTGCTCAGTTCCATATGGAGAGAGTATGACACCTCCCTGCCTGAAATGGAAGACAGAGACAGCTATTGTCTATTGTCTAAAGCAGGGATTCTCAACCTGTGGGTTGCAACCCATAGGAACTGTATTAAAGGGTCACGGCATTAGGAAGGTTGAGAACCACTGGTCTAAAGCATCAACCCAAAGGGCTCTGAATGGATCCTTTCTGATGCAGAAGCAGTTTCTCATCCAAGCAAGCAGTAAGAGAGCCTAAGGAAATATATTTGCCAGTGAGGCAGATTCAAAAAAATAAATAAATAAATGTAAAAAGAATTAATTAGATGTGTAGGGATCAAATGCTCTAGGTTTGAAGTTTGAGTTTCTTTTTCATTATAGTCCTCATAGTCAGGTGCAAGATCCCCACTTTGCCGGGGTAGCAGTGCTAGGACTAGGGGGCGGGATTGCTTGGTACTTGGGAAAGGAGCACATACCTTACGAGACACAGAGAGGCTTCCAGTGACAGAGACCTTGCCTGTCACCTATTCTGAATGTTTCACTGAAGTCACACTTGGAGAGTGGGGAGGTAGCCCAATGCCTAATAGAAATTTTTTTTCCTTATTGCAGTTTGGCCGGGGCTGGGTTCTAACCTACCACCCTTGGTATATGGGGCTGGTGCCCTGCTCACTGAGCCACAGGTGCCACCCAGTAGAATGTTGTTTTTAATTAAAACATCAGAGTTCAGGCTTGGCACCCCTAGCTCAGTGAGTAGGGCATCAGCCACATAACACAGAGGCTGGCAGGTTTGAGCCCAGCTCAGGCCAGCTAAACAACAATGATAACTGCAATCAAAAAGTAGCAGGCATTGTGGCAGGTGCCTGTAGTTCCAGCTACTCGGGAGGCTGAGGCAAGAGAATTGCTTAAGCCCAAGAGTTTGAGGTTGCTGTGAGCTGTGATGCCACAGGACTCTACTGAGGGCAACATAGTGAGACTCTGTCTTTAAAAACAAACAAACAAACAAACAAAAAACCCACCAGAATTCAGCATTGTGGACTTCTGACATTGAGCAAAAAAACAGATCACTACTCATCTTCTCATTTTGTGAAGGAAATAAAACAAAGCCAGCAAAAATGACTTCCCTGAAGTCACATAGCCAGTTTGGAGCAGAGCTGGGACTAGCATGCTGACCTCTGACTATAGGGAGCATTACCTGAGTTCTCCCAGGGCACATGGAAGAGGGCTGCTGCCATCCCAGGCATGGAAACTCCCTGTCATGGGGCCTGCCTCTGCTGTGACCACTCAGATTCTGGGGTCTGACCCTAGGGTAGGGCTGCTGTCCAACTGGATTTCCCGGTTCTAAGGTAGCCAGAGACTTTCTAGGTGGAAGTTGAGAATAAGGAGGCCAACTGGTTATACACATCCATGGAACAGGACCACAGTTTAGAAACAGCGACTAATTCTCAAAAAAGTTGAAGGATAGGCCAGGTGTGATAGGGCCTGTAATCCTTGCACTCTGGGAGGCTAAAGCAGGTGGATGGCCTAAACCAGGCATCCTCAAACTACGGCCCATGGGACACATGTGCCCACCGAGGACATTTATCTGGCCTGCAGGGTGTTTTTACTGCCGCTGCCTGTCCTGCTTAGCAGCCGACTTGTCCTAGGGCCCACAGTCCGGGCCTCCAATGGTCTGAGGAACAGTGAACTGGCTCCCGTTTAAAAAGTTTGATGACCCCTGGCCTAAACTCAGGAGTTTGAGACCAGCCTGAGCTAGAGTGAGACCCTCGTCTCTAAAAATAGTCAGGCATCATGGAGGACACCTGAATCCAGCTATTTGGGAACTTGAGGCAAGAGATCCATTTGAGCCCAAGAGTTTGAGGTTGCTATGTGCTGTGATACCATGACACTCTACCAAGGGTGACAAAATGAGGGTCTGTCTCAAAGAAAAAGAAAAAACAACTTGAAGAAGGAATAATTAAAACTCTTCAGATCCAAACTGAAACACCAATTACAAAGAACACAGAATTAAAATGAAAAGTGCAGACTCTGGGGAAGAAATCTGTGAATGACAGGGATGGCATTTCCAGTTCTAATGTGTCCAGATTTTGTCACCTGCTTCCGTTTGTGGTTTTGAAATATGTTTGCCTCCAGGACTAGAGGAAGAGAAGTTAGTCGATGCCAACAGTAACCAGATCTGTGGCTAAGAAGCCTGTCCAATTTAGCCTGAGGTGCATGTAACAAAATGTGTCTCCCGGGTGTTACCTGTGGCTCAGTGCGTGGGGCACTGGCCCCATATACTGAGGGTGGCGGGTTCAAACCTGGCCCCCTCCAAACTGCAACAACAACAAAAATAGTCAGACATGCTGGTGGACGGCTGTAGTCCCAGCTACTCGGGAGGCTGAGGCAAGAGAATCACCTAGGCCCAGGAGTTGGAGGTTGCTGTGGGCTGTAACACCACAGTACTCTACCGAGGGTAATAAAATGAGATTCTCTACCAAAAAAAACAATTAAAAAAAATGTGCCTCCCTACAGGGCATTCATTTCATGCTCCCAGAGAGTGGTGTGAAGAAAATAGACAGCATTTGATTCACCCCAACATGGTTAACAATGTTCCTCAGAGGCTCTGATCACTGAGACCTTCTCAGATATGGAAAGGGGCGTGACACAGTCCCTTCCTTGCATGTCCCCATGCTCAGGATTGAAGGCTGTGGCCCTGCACCGTCCCCAGGCCATGAACGGGGTGCTGGCCATAGCGACTGTGCTGTATGACCCTGAGCCTTAGGGTTTCCTGCGTTTGTCACCTATGGCAAGCTGGACACCATGACACAGGACACTAAAAGGACCTGACATGCAAGACCCCTCTTCACATGCAAGGCCCTGTTACCTCTGGACACTCACAGGTCTCACTGGCTGCCAGGCCTGGCTCCAGGCACTTTTCCTGGATTAACTTCTTTCTTTCCCAAGGAGTGAGGCTGAGGCTCAGGGAGAGCTGTGCAGAGCACAGATCCAGACAGGAGTCCAAGGAACACTGGATGCTAGGGCTCCGGGACCCACAGGAGCCACCCTAGGTGGGGCTGGGGAAGCCCAAAGAAGTCTGGATTTAGAAAACTGAACTGGGAACCAGACCTTTCTTCCACTTTCCACACCAGTGGCTGGGCTGGAAACTCGCCCCAGAAAGTCCCTTTCTACAGTTTGGCCAGTGCCCGTTGTCACCCAAGGGGACTAACGCACCCTTGCGGCAAGTTTGCCCCATTTTAAGTGTTTGCATAAGAAGTTTACCCCATGCTATCAGGAGTCAGAGATGTGAATAAATGAGTGGTAACAATGGTTAAAACGTACAATCAGCTTTTCAAGCGAAGCTGCAGAAAAACTTTATGTTCGAAATGATTGAGACAAAATAGTGAGATCCACTACAGCGAAGCCGCGAGCGGGGCCCATGGAGGGGTGTAAGCCGCGAGTGCCACAGTCCTCCTCCCCCGACCTCTGCCGGGGCTCCCCAGGGACCAGCACTTCTCTGCAGAAGGGCTGCTGGGGAGCTTCTGTCCAGGTAGAAGATGAGGATGGCTGCAGGGCGGAAACGCTGGCATCCTCCTCGCCCCAGCCGGAGCTGCCAACACCAGCAATTGGGACCTGCACCCCTTCAAGCGACCACCGGCAAGCGACCCCGCAAGTCTCGCCTCAAAGGAGGTTCTGCTGCTCACTTCGGTCCGCCGTGGGTCTTGCCCGCGGGGAGAGATCCACAGGCGGCCCGCGAGGGCAGCGATTGTGGTGTCAGGTGTGGCAGGCCCATGTCGGGGAGCGCAGCCGGACACTAACCCTCATTTGGCGGCTGCAGTAGGGGAGGTGGGACCGAGGGAGACGGGTGTGGGGGCGGGGCGGGCTCGCAGGTTGGGGGCGGGGCCTGGCCGCGGGGCGGGGCGGGGCGGGGCGGGCTCGCATTCGGTCCTCCCTCTAGCGCCCGCGCCGCGCTCCCGGACTCCCGCCAGCCTGTGCCGCCGTGGCCGCCGGCTCGGCAACTTCGCGTGCGCCCGAGGCGCCCAGACCCCGTCCCGCGCTGCGCCCCGAACCATGGACGTGCTGGCCTGGCTGCTACCTCCGCTGCTGCTGCTCTGCACACAGCGTCCCCGCGGCGCCAGGTGAGCCGGCCCGGGGTCCGCGCGGCCCATGGGGAGCGGGGAGAGGAGGAGGACGGGGACAGGAAGGGGACGGGAGTCCCCGGGTGGGAGGGCGGCCAGATAACCTCGGCAGTGCGGACCCCGCGTCTGCTTGGCGGTACCTACACCTTCCTGGTCTCCCCACCGCGGGCGCTCCTGTGCAAACTCGCCCCGCAGCCCTTGGACGCCGACGCGGAGCCCCCGCCGCCACCCCCCACCCCGGTGCTGTCCGTGGTCCTAGCGCTGAACGCGGCGCCACAGGACGACCAGGGCGTCGGAGGGGCTCGCGGTTCTTCCTGTTCCCTGGCTCTCCGGGAGAGGTCTGGGTGTCGTCGGCCCCCACTGGCACTTGGCAGGTCCCTGCCTGGCTGGCGCCCTTCCAGGCGCGAAGCTGAACACTCAGGACGGCACGGGCTGCAGGCAGGAAGGAAAGATCCCACAACACCGGGGAGGAAGGTGCTCCCTTTCCCGTGAGGGCAGAGCTACAGAGTGGGCTTCCATTGCAGCTGGTGGTCTGGGACGGGCGGAAAGGCTCGTCCCGAGGGCTGCGTGTTCAGGAGCGGCAGGCGGGATGCTGGAGGGACAGTGTCCTGTCAGGAGCTCTTTCAAACGTCAGAGACTGAGTCCTAGCTATGCAGGTGGATGGTAGTCAGGTGCCCTTCAATGGGAAAGAGGCTCTGGGTTTCTTGTTAACTATTGTGGGGCTCCTCCCCAGAGAAGGAGTAGGCTAGGGAGAAGGGCCTGGGCTGAGCTCCCTCCCTCTGGCTTGCAGCCACCAACACCTGCCGCGTGCTTCTCCCTCTCTGTGTATCTGAAATGGGCTCCAGGGTCGCCTGGGCATGTTGGGTCTCAACACTAAGCCTGCCAACCTTGCTCGAGAGTCAGGAGAAGGCAGTTAGGGGCTTTTTTGAAAATGACCTCAGTGCAAGGGCTCAGAAACAAAACAAAAATGGAAACAGGTCCCCCAGCATTCTGGATTTTGTGGAGCCTGAAGATTGTTAGAAACCAGAAATGCCTGGATGTCCTTGTGTCATAACTGTGGGCACTCAGTTTGTAACTCTCAGCCAGGGTGTTGGGGCTCTCTGACCCCTGGGTCATCACTCCGGCAGGGCTGTGTTCGTTCTGCAGCCCCAGTGGCCCCTTCTCCTTTTCCTTTCCCCACTTCAAGGCAACAGGGAGGACAGAGACAGAGTCGTGGGTATGATGGTGTGTGGGAGGGGCTGGGGCAGCTGCCAGCCCAGGCCCACAGCCAGCTAGCCAAGAGTCTGACATCTAAATGGCTCTGAAACCCCTGAGATTTAGCCCAAGTTTGACACTAACCATCATTTGGTGGCAAATTCTGTCCTGTACTGACATGAGGCTGGTTGCCTTTATTTATCCTACTCAAGGGGCCTGTGTGTGCATTTCCTGCCAGGAAATTCTCTAGAGCCCCCTCCCCCATCTGCAGATGCACCATATCCCACTCTAAAATCTAGAAAATCCTGAATCCTGACCTGAGCCTGGCTCCTGGGGTAGTGGGTGAGGGATTATGTGCTGTCTCCCTGGGAAGGAAAGCTGGAGGCACTGCCTGGCTAGCAGCAGGACCTCCCAAGCCTGTAGTGGTTTCCATCCCTGGGAAAGGGGTACCAGGTGGGGGGCACCCTGCATGGTGGTGGATGCACTGCTGTGCTGAGCTTCTTCTCACTCTCTGATTAAAAATAGTTACCATCTTGCTACATTTTAGTCTCTCCTTTTAGATGATTCCCTGCACGTGTGCTGGGCTCGACCTCCTGCTCGTGACTTTAGCCTGGCAATGGCACTGCGTGGGCGGGGCTGAAGGGGCTGGTGGGGGAGCAGCTGCCGGTGCAGCCCTTGCTGGTGACCTTCAGACTTAGCAGGCTGCCATCCTCACAGAGCTGCTGCCCCAACAAGGTCTATGTCCCTTCCACTTAGAAACCAGGACAGCTGCTCTCTATTTTTTCTCCCCACTTTCCGCCCTGGACCAGTGTTGGAGGACCATGGGACCTGTTCTGCCCCACAATGCACAGTTCAGATCCCAGCAGTACTAGTGGGAAAGGCTGGGTGGGGCAAGAAGGGGTGCACTGTGTAGTTTTCCTGAGCCATCCGGGAATCTGAAGACCTGCACACAGGTGAGGTTTATGCTGCAGGGATGGTCCTCCCGGGCTGCTGCACCTCGTTTCTGGGGAAGGTGTGTTCCTCCTCGCCTTGGCAACTGAGATGCTAGTGCCGTGTGTTGCTCTGAAGGCAGAGCTGTCAGGATCTGTGGGCTTGTGTGTGCACCGTGGCAGGATCCTCGGAGGGAGAAGGACCCTGCTGCCTTGCTTAGCAACACCCACCTTCCCATCCTCAGAGGCAGAGAGTGGTGACAGGGTGGGTTTGTTTCTCAGTGGGACTGGGATGGGGGAGGCCTGGTGAGTCACCAAGACCAGCCAAGGTGGACATTGATTGTGGTGCCCATTACCCAAATGTGATGTGGAGCCTGCCAGATGTCTCTAAGCTCCTTTGTCCATCTACCCAGAGGAAACCCAAACCCCAGGCTGCTGAGGGGCTCTGAGGCCACCAGGTGAGCTGGCAGCTCCCTCCCAGTGTCTGTGACGTTGCTGTCAGAGTCCACACCCTGCCCCAAGATGAGCTCCCTTCATGCAGAACTTGCACTGCCTGCATTGTTGGCTGTGCTGCCCTTGGAAGGAAAGGGCCCCAGGGAGCCCAAATCTGATGTGCAGCCATCACTTATCCCAGTCCTGGGAGACACTTCCCCAGGCCTCCTCAGGAAGTTGTTCCTAACCCATGCAGGAAATGTCTGTGGGGTGACCTCTGGGTGCCCATCCCATTCTAGGGACACAACTGGGTCCCTAGAACAGATGGATGCCCAGGTCCCGTGGAGGTCCAAGTCTTGAGGGGAGCAACAAAGTGAGTGGGTTTCTATGTGACAGGCAGAGGTGGGGTGGGGTGGAAAAAACTGATGGCCCTTGAGAAAGCCACACCAGAGCCCAAAGGAAGAGGAAAGTGGACCCAAGGAGAGGCAGAGGCAGGCTGCGAGGGCCCTGTGCACAGTGTCAGTCCAGGACCCCAAGGAGCAGCAGGATCAGATTCACACTTTACACACATGATTCTGGTGACCTGGGTTGTGGGGTGCAGCACAAGTGTCCCTGCCCTTCCCTACACCCTATGAAGATTCGAGCTCCTTGTACCTCAGTCTCAGGTGGGCCCTGGAAGCTCCAGAGGTTCCCCTGGGCTGGGGAGGCACCTGCAGCGAGGAACCCAGTCCCTGCCCCTTCTGACTAGGACTGAACTTCTTGTGTCATATGTTGGCCTTTTAAAGAGGTTGACCTTGAAGCAGACATTCCTTAGCTACTCCCATCCCAGGCAGGAGGAGCCACTGCAGCCAGGTGTTAGGGCTGCTGTCCATTAGACAGACCCTGCTCTCTCTGGCCCCCAAGCTGTGGCCTGGTACAGGATTGGGGACAGGATAGGCGCTTGCTAACAAAATATAAATAAGATGGAATTCAATTCATTCCTGGCCTGAGTAAAGCACAATTAAAAATGCAAACAGAAGACACCTGAAGGTCAGATGTAAAAGGTCTGGATATGGCTTTATTTTTGGACTAGCCAAGCTGCCATCCAGCCTGCTGAGAATGGGGCCATGAGGAGATATTGTCCTTCCTGGGACACATCTCTTGCCTAACTCTGAGTGGTGACACACGTGCATGCCCCTTCTCCCCACCCTAGTCCCAGGCCCACTGGGGGACATGAGGACAGTGCTAGGAGTAAGCCCCTGGCCATGAAGATAGGACAGCTTGTGCCATCTCCCGGGGGCAAGAAGGGAACAGGCCCCCCTCATTTCTCACCTAGGATGCTGGCTAGCCATTCTTCCACCAGCAGACAAATGGGACCCTGTGCCCTCGCAGATCCTGGACTTACCCTGTGCACAGGTCCCTCGTGGCCTACCTCTGCCTCTCCTTGGGTCCACATTCCTCTTCCTTTGGGCTCTAGTGTGGCTTTCTCAGGGGCCATCAGTTCTCCCCACCCCACCTCTGCCCGTCATATGAAAACCCACTCACTTTGTTGCTCCCCTCAAGACCTGCACTTCCTCGGGACCTGGGCTATAACCATCTGGTCTGGGGACCCAGATTTGTCCCTAGAATAGGACGGGCACCCAGTGGTCACCCCTCCGATGTTTGCCACAGGGGTGGATAGGCGTAGCTTCCTGAGGGAGCCTGGGGTAGTGTCTCTGGGGACTGGGAGCGGTGATAAAGACTCAGGTGGGTGCATTGGCATTCAGGAATGAGGCGGGAGGTGGCAGGAACTGGGTGGCAGTTGCTGCAGGCCTAGGGGTTCTGGTGGGTGCAGGTAGAGGCTTAGAAGGCACACTGCCTGGCCCTGGGGGAACAGTGGACCTAAGCAGCTATAGCCAGAGAAACAGGGAGGGTGAGCTGCAGCTGGCCCATGCAGGATTGAGGCTTGTGTCTGGCTTGCTGCGTGGGTCCACAGGCAGAGTGGGCTGGGCTGCTGCAGCCTCTGAGGGAGCAGTTGGAAGGTAGTGGAGAACTGGGAATGAGGGAGACCAAAGTCTTCTCATGGAGGCTTGCTGGGGTGGCCCAGTGTGGGGAATGAGGCTCGAGGCCATGTCTGAACTGGGGCTGAGTACCTGTAGGCTTTTGGGGAGTAGGGACACTGGTTCAGATTCTGAGCCCCCGCCTCCCTCTCCCACTTGGACTGTCCCCTATCTGTGGGCAGGTGGACTGGTATGGGCTTCCTAGGCCTACCATGACAAATGACCACAAATTCACTGGCTTAAAACAATGAGAAGTGCATTTCTCAGCTCTGGAGGCCCAAAGTCTGCAGTCAAGGGCTGGTTCCCTAAGGAGACCTATCCCACGCCTCCTCCAGTGTCTGGGGGCTCTGGCAAGCCTTGGTGCTCTGTTACTTGTGGACACACCACTCCCATCTCTGCCCCATCATTGGCAGGTGACTTCTTCCTGTGTGTCTCTGTCTTCTCTTGTTAGGACACTCATTGGCTTTGGGATGAGTTATACTAATCCAGTATAACTACCTTCATCAGCAAAGACCCCGTTCCTAAATAAGGTCACATTCTGCAGTTGTGGTGGATGTGTATCTGGATGCTGTTCCCCCAGTCCAGAGAGTGGGCAGCTATGGGGCCTTCTGGGGAGTTCTGTATTCTAGCACCACTGTGTATGTGGGATCCATGACACCTTTCTCTGTCGCTGCTTTGAGTCAAGTGTGGGCCCCGCTGCGACCCTGCCAGGGACAGAGAAGATCATCATAGGCCAAGCCTAGAAGCGCATGGCCACTGAGGAGCCAGGGGGACCCGGCTGGGCCTTCCTGGGAAAGGACATAAAACAGGAGGCTTGGCTCAGCACCTATAGCTCAGTGGCTAGGGCGCCAGCCATATACACCAAAGCTGGCAGGTTGAAATGCAGCCCAGGCCTGCCAAACAACTATAAGCAAAAAAAAAAAAAAAAAAAAAATAGCTGGGCATTGTGGTGGGCGCCCTACTTGTCCCAGCTACTTGGGAGGCTGAGGCAAGAGAATAATTGCTTGAGTCCAAGAGTTTGAGGTTGCTGTGAGATGTGATGCCAGGGCACTCTACCAAGGGTGACAAAGTGACACTCTGTCTCAAAATAAAAAAAAGAAAGAAAGAAAACAGGAGGCTCTGGGCCCCCATAGCTTTGGGGTGCTGAACCTACCTACTCCTCTGCCTCCTCCTCATACTGCCTCCAAAGCTGTCAAGGAGGCTACGTGCCCCTGTTGGAGTCTTTTAAAGCCTCTCAGGAGGCTGCCTGCCTGACTTCACAGTTGCATTGAGTGAGCCTGAGGTCTCAGCCCACATTGGGGGGCTTTGCCTAGCCCAGGGCAGCTAAAGCAGAGGTGAGTGGGAGAGCCCAGGACCAGTCCACAGTGGCCAGAAGGGGACCAGGCTCCGTAGTCCCATCTGTCCTGACCCACTGGCCTTGCATTCCCAGAGCAATGAATGACATTGGTGACTATGTGGGTTCCAACCTGGAGATATCCTGGCTTCCTAACCTGGACGGCTTGATGGCTGGCTATGCCCGCAACTTCCGGCCTGGCATTGGAGGTGAGGGCAGCCTTCTGGGACATGGTGGGCAGGAGTTGCTCAACCCCGGGGTCACCATGGGTGTGTGCCTGGCTGGGCTCTGGGCAGGCAAAGTGGCCTGGCTCTCTGCCTGGGCTCCATTAGACTTCAAGTGCCAAGTCCCCTATGCAGACAGCTGGGAAGTAGACCTCCTCAGGCTGTGATGGCAGACTACTTGGAGGCTGTTCCCCATCCTGCCTCCTGGGGCTCTTGCTGGGTGAAGAGCCTGGCCTGGCGAGGCAGCCAGGGGTGGCAGCTAGACGCCATGCTGGAGCCTGCCTCAGTCCCTCCTTGCACCCCACCTATTCCTTGCAGGCCCCCCTGTGAACGTGGCCCTGGCCCTTGAGGTGGCCAGCATTGACCACATCTCGGAAGCAAACATGGTAGGTGCCTGGCCAGTCTCTGTCCCCAGGCTGTGTGCCCTAGGAGCACAGTGAGGGCTGACCACAGCACTGCCCTCCCCGTAGGAGTATACCATGACAGTGTTTCTGCACCAGAGCTGGCGTGATAGCAGGCTGTCCTACAACCACACCAACGAGACCCTGGGCCTGGACAGCCGCTTTGTGGATAAGCTGTGGCTCCCTGACACCTTCATTGTCAATGCCAAGTCTGCCTGGTTCCATGATGTGACTGTGGAGAACAAGCTCATCCGGCTACAGCCTGACGGGGTGATCTTATACAGCATCCGGTGAGCAGTGCCCCCACTCAGGGCCAGCACCACTCAAGGGGGCTCTCACCCCAGAGCCTGCAGGTAGCCTGCCTAGGCCCAACTCCACTCAAGGGGGACCCTTGCCCCGGAGCCTGCAGGTAGCCTGCCCAGGCCCAGCACCACCCAAGGGGGCCCTCGCCCCAAAGCCTGCAGGTAACCTGCCCAGCACTGCATGTGGGATCCTACAGGGCCAGAGGAGACTCAAGATGCTGCTGCTAGGGCCAGGCTGGGGCCGGGCAGGAGCTGCTGTTATTTATATCCTTATGCAGCCGGCAGCTGCTCGGGAAGCATCAACTCCAGGGCTGTGACAGGAAGCCACAGATGTGGCTTTGGGCCAGTGCAGTGCCTTTTTTTTTTCTAAATGGGGTGAAATGCACATGACATAAAATAACCACTTTGGAGTGGACGTCCTCTGGCTTTAGCAGACTCACCATGTTGTGCACCCTCCACCTGTGCCTGGTTCCAGAGCGTCCTCATTGCCCCAGAAGTCACACCCTGATCCTCTCTCCCTGAAGGCCCCAGCAACCATGCTGTGCTTTCTGTCTCCATGGTCTGCCCGGGCATTCTGTGTACGTGAAGGTGTACTTGTGCCCTCATGTCTGACTTCCTCTACTTGGCCTCATGTGTCTGGGTCCACCTACGCTGTGGCCTGTGTCAGGCCTTGCTCCTCTTTACAGCTAAATAATATTCCATTCCACATATAGCTTGTCTGTCCATCCATCTGCCTGGACGTTTGGACTGCCACCAGCTACTATGAGTGCGCATATGTGCGTGCATTTGAATGTTTTCAGTCACATGACTTTCACAAATGGAACTAGCTGATGACATTTGTAAGATCAGGTTTTTTTTTTTTTTTTTTTTGAGACAGCGTCTCACTTTGTCACCCCCTGGTAGAATGCCATGGTGTCATAGCTCACAGCAACCTCAGACTCTTGGATTCAAGCAATTCTTTTGCCTCAGTCTCCTGAGTAGCTGGGACTACAAGCACCTGCCACAACTCCCAGCTATTTTTAGAGCCAAGGTCTCACATGCTTAGACTCACTTGCTTAGACTGGTCTTGAACCTGTGAGCTCAGGCAATCCACCTACCTTAGCCTCCCACAGTGCTACACCATGCCCAGCTGAAAAATTAGGTTTTACATAAGAATTTACATGTCTGACTTCTGGGAAATCAGAGCACGTGGCAACTCTGGGCCTAATCCCAGGCTCCTGCCAGCATCCCTGGGGCCGATGTCCAAGTCCTTGGGCTGCTTCCCACCCCAAACTTAGTCAAATGGTCAAGGATTTTAAAGGGTGAAAAGAATGAATGAAACACAATCCATGGTCCCAAAGCAAGACTCACAAATATCTATAGAGTCGGCCACAGTTTTTAGTTTTTACCCAGGTGCTGGGCAACTTGCATAGCGTGTGAGGTCCCTGGGGAGCAGGGCCTGCTGGGCTTCCAGGGGAACTGGCCTCACCCTGTGCCTCACTGCCTCCTTTCTGGACAGAATCACCTCCACAGTGGCCTGCGACATGGACCTGGCCAAGTACCCCATGGATAAGCAGGAGTGTGTGCTGGACCTGGAGAGCTGTGAGTGGACACTTGTGTGGGACAAGGCTCCTCTCTGGGGGCTTCTCCAGGGGGACAGCCAAGGCCTGGATGAGGCTGGCCTGGCTCAGGGGCAGGGGAGCACCTGGGATAGGCTTCCATACAAGCAAGGCACTGGGGCAGGGAGAGAAGGGGCAAAACCCCTGGAGCTTAGCCCATGGTCAGTGCCCAGTCTGGGGAGTGGGTCGAGAAAGCGGGACATGCAAAGATCCTTGTGTCTCTCCCAACGGTGACCCCACCTTTGCCCCGTCCACCTGTGTGGAGGTGCTGGGTGTGGTCCCAGAGCCCTGACAGAGCCCCTGCTGGGGCCCTGCTGCCCACCATGGGCTCTTCCTCAGATGGCTATTCCTCTGAAGACGTCGTCTACTACTGGTCAGACAGCCAGGAGCATATCCATGGGCTGGACAAGCTGCAGCTGGCGCAATTCACCATCACCAGCTACCGCTTCACCACGGAGCTGATGAATTTCAAGTCAGGTACGGCGGCCGTGTGCTCCCCTTTCCTCCCAACCAGGCTTGTGGGTTTCTGATACATTTTAATGGAGGTGCCTGCTGGCTCTGAGGGCCCCCAACGGTGCAGCTGGAAACCACTGACTTAGGAGCTTGCTAATTGGCGCTAGCCACTCCTGAACCAGGAACTTAGGAGGCGCTGCTGTGTAGACATGGGTCAGCTTTTCAATGTCTTCTTCCTCGGCCCATTCTCACTTCTCAGCACTCTAGGTTCAGGGGGACCGGTGGGTATGGGGGTCTCCTAGCCCTAGGACTGCACGGCTCAGGACTCAAGGCTCAAGTCTTCCCTGGCCCCCTTGGCTTGTGGACCCTCCTGTTCCTGCCCACTGCTACTGGCCTATTACCTGGAGTGGTGAGCACAGGGTGAGGCTGTGCACAAAGAAACAGAGATGTGGTCTCCTCCACTGGCTAGGGTCTGGCAGGGCCAGTGCAACTGGACTCTGCCTCCCCTCCTTTCCTCTCTGGGTGACCCTGCACGGGGCTAGGCCAAGGGCAGGGGGACCCCTAGTGTGTCAGGCTGTGTGGGATGTTGGGAAGCCTGGCAGTGGGCCCAAGTACCTACCAAGGGGTCTTTTCCCCTGGAGTCCCATGGGCTGGGGGGTCAGCAGTGAAGGCCAGTCTGACTGTGGCTATTGGGGCAGCCGGCCAGTTTCCTCGGCTCAGCCTACACTTCCACCTGCGGAGAAACCGGGGCGTCTATATCATCCAGTCCTACATGCCCTCCATCCTGCTGGTTGCCATGTCCTGGGTCTCCTTCTGGATCAGTCAGGCTGCAGTGCCCGCCAGGGTGTCTCTGGGTATGGGACCTTCACCCTCCTCTTGGGCACTGGGGAAGAGTGGCCCCAGGGGCCAGACCTACACCTGGTCAGCTTATGCTCTCCAATTCCCTGTGCCCACTGTCCTGGGGGGGCATGTGGGCTGCTAGACCCCCTCCCACCCTTGGGGACCCAGGTGCTGCTGGGGGAATATGGGGAGGGGATACAGCAGGGTTCCAACAGTGGCACCTCCCTGCCCCCAGGTATCACCACAGTGCTGACAATGACCACACTCATGGTCAGTGCCCGCTCCTCCCTGCCGCGGGCATCGGCCATCAAGGCACTGGATGTGTACTTCTGGATCTGCTACGTCTTCGTTTTTGCAGCCCTGGTGGAGTATGCCTTTGCCCACTTCAATGCAGATTACAGGAAGAAGCAAAAGGCCAAAGTCAAGGTCACAAAGCCGAGGGCAGAGGTGAGAGGCCAGAGGTGGGGCCAGCATCCTGACACCTCTCAGGGCTCAGAACTAGGACAACCCCACCTGGCTCGAGGATGGGGCCGTACCCTGGCCCAAGCCCAACCCTGATGGGGACCCTGGAAAGGTCGTGGCTGTAGGACAGGTGAGGGCTCTCAGCTCTGGCCTGATATGGGTCACAGCGGTGCCTGCCCAGCATAGCATCCTGTGTGAAAGCCCTTGTGGCCCAGGACTCTGGAGTGTGCCGTGATACTCAGGTCCTACTCCCCTGTGCAGATGGACGTGAGGAATGCCATCGTTCTCTTCTCCCTCTCTGCTGCCGGCGTCACCCAGGAACTGGCTGTCTCCCGCCGGCAGTGCCGCGTGCCCGGGAACCTCATGGGCTCCTACAGGTCGGTAGAAGTAGAGACCGGGGAGACCAGGGAAGGGCAGCCCCGTCCAGGGGGCCAAGGCGGCATCCGCGCACGGTTCAAGCCCATCGACGCGGACACCATCGACATCTATGCCCGAGTTGTGTTCCCTGCGGCGTTTGTGGCCGTCAACGTCATCTACTGGGCGGCGTACACCATGTGAAGCCCCTCATCTCCTGGGCCATCCTGCTGCCCAAGTGGCTGCCAGGAACTCCTGGGAGGAAGGGCCCAGAGCTCTGTCTGCCTGATGCGTGTTTCAAGGTGGGATGACAACTGACCCCTGAAACAAGAAGCCTTAGTCCGAGCTTGGACGCACCTTGCTGGAAGGCCTGCTAGTGCTCTGCTGTGGGCAAGACCGGGCAGCCGGCAGAGCGGCACAGCCAGGCTTGGTGCTGGGCCCTGCAGGAGCTGTGAATTTTTAGACTCAGACAGTGACCCTGATTTCTAGGTCTTGCTCTGTGTGATGGGATCAAGGGCAGGAAGTGGGAGTGGACATTTGTCCTGGTGGAAGGGTAGAGAAGGCTGGGGGGCTCTTTGGCCCCAGCATGAAATAAAAAAGCCCTGGCCTTGTGGCCAGTTACATTCTCTGTTGCTACAGCTGCAACTAGGCCTCCTGTCTGGCTGCCCATAGCACACTGTGTGCTCTTGGGCCGGAGTTTGGGTGCAGCAGCCTGCAGGGGCCCCTACATGTGGCTAGGGGATGGGGCCCAGGGTCACAAGGGAGGCTGCTGCCAGCAGGGGTGTGGGGTGTGGGGTGTGGGTGTGGGGCAGGGCTAGGAGGAGAGAGCCTGAGCAAGGACAGGAGCCAGCATATATGACACTAGCTTCAGGCAGGTGGTCTCATCCATGTCATTGGGCTATAGCGGGGCCACTTCCTCAAATGAGAACGCAGGTATAGGACATAAGACAGGAGGCTGAGCTCATGGGTGTGGGGGAGGGAGTGCAGCACTGGCTGGGCCCAAAACTATGTGCCTTTGAGATACCTTCTTGAGATTCTGAGACTCAACTCCTGACTTGGGGGACAGAGACTCAAACTCAGGGACAGAGACTTGGGGGATAAAAACTCAGGACAGACTCTGGGACATTCTTAGGGACGGAGGCTCAGGTGGAAACTTGGGGACATGAGCTCAGAGGTTGTGTCCCAGAAGAGCCATGGGTGCCTAAGGACATCCAGGGCGGGGTGAAGGTGCAGGGGTCTGGAAGGATTTAAGGTAATGCCCCCCTTGGGCCCTTGGTGGGTTCCCAAGGCCCAGGTGCTACTGCAGTGCCTTGTTAGACACGGTGATAGGAGCTCAAAGGTCACAAGGTCCACAAATGCCCCATAGCCCTTTCCCACCTGCTGCCACTGCCAGGGACTCTGGATGCCAACCTTGCAGCCCAAGGACTCAGCTGTCATCAGAGTGTCTGGCCAGTGGCTCTTAATAAGGGGTCCAGATTTTCCATGGTGCCAGCTCATTACACACAGAGGAAACAAAAGGGTGCAATTAGGACATCTGTTTGGGCCTCTCCCGTCCACTGCTGGGTCCACCCCATGCCAGTGTCCAGTGACCTGCTGAATCAGGATAGCACCTAGGCCGCTGTGGGCCTCCTAGGGGCCTCACCACCTCCTACCGCCACTGCTGGGGACCTTGGTGCTGTCTATGAGATCTACCTGCCCTCAGCACCAGGCCCAGGTGTGTTGCTCAGGGACAAAGTGCTGAGCTGCTTCCCACAGAGTCAGGCCACATCTGAGAGCAGAGCAAGGCATTGCTCTCTCTGGCCAAACCACAGTCCAGCATTACCCATCTCTGCCTCCAGGTCTCAAAGACCCCTCCCCCCATAAAGCCCCCTCCTCAGCCTGGCTGCCTAATAGCCCCTGTTGTAAAGGAGGAGGCCGTGGGTCTTGGTAGGATCATCCCGGGGGGGTGAGACAGGCCAGGGACAGGGGTGGGGCAGGCCTGGCTCCAGTGGGGCCACGACCAGCGCACACAGAATAGAGTGGACCTCGTCATGAGCAGCAGCGGTAGCCAGGGAGCAGCTGAGCTGGGATCAAGGTCAGCTGCGGACTACAGGGGCAGGCGGACCAGGCCTGGCCAGCTCCTTGCCAAGGAAGCGATGTCCCTGCAGGGACCGTTCTCCCCTTCCCACCTCTGCCCCTCTGCTCCTGGGCCTCCCTGCAGGGGTACCGTTGCCCTTTTTCAGAGAGCTGCCCACAGGTGTGGGGTCCATACCCCAGATAGCACACCACTGCCTCTGCTCTGGCCCACCAAGGTCCTGCCCCAAGGATGGGCCTTTCCCCCAGGCAGGTGGCTGGGGTCAGCTCTAATCCTGGGCCTTTGGGGAGGGCCAAGGGGTTCACAGAGCTACTGGACTCCCTTGGACCTCTAGGCTGGTGCCTGAGCCCCTCTGCCGCCTCTACCTACCCCCCACCAGGCTGCCCTCTTTTTCCTGCCTGTGCCCACGAGGAGCTATTTAAAGCCGGCCTTTGTGACTGCCTCAGGCACCCACGCAGCCGGGCCCACCCGAGCAGAGCAATCACACCCTCCCCCTGCCGCTGATGCTCCTGCCCACATATTTGCAGGGCTGGGGAAGAAAGGACGGGAGGGCTGAAGCTTTTCAAACCTTGCCTTTATTCTGGTAGAGATGGCAGGAACAGACTGAGGGCTGGGGCGAGTCAAAGTACACAGCTGGGAGAAGGCCACTTGGGGAGGGGTTCAGGGACCCCACTAAGGGGCACCTCCTACGGAGGTTGGTGGGCAGAGAGGCACCTCCATGGTACAGACGTCACCAGCTTTTTATCCCAGCAGGGAGAAGTCTCTGGGGGCTGGTGCCTTCCTGGTCTGCAGAAGGCTGGACAGTGTGTCCTGAGCAGACTCCTAAATGCTCCTTGGGCGAGAGACTGGTGGTGGGGGTGAGAGGGGTTGCTGTCAGGGGGAGGGGCTTGGGTCTGTCCTGGCCCCAGCAGGGGGGTCCTCTTTGACTTCCTCAGGAGCAGAGCCTGAGGCAGGCATGTGGATGCTGGGAGGTAGTTTGGGGGCGAGGGGGTCCCTGTTTCCCCAGGGAGCCACAGTAAAGCACCACAAACCAGGAGACTTAGAACGGCAGAAATCAATTCTCTGCCAGGCTGGAGGCCTACAGTCCAAAATCACAGTGTGGGCTGGGCACAGTGGCTCCAGCCTGGAATCCCAGCACTCTGGGAGGCCAAGGTAGGTGCATTATCTGAGTTCAGGAGTTTGAGACCAACCTCAGCAAGGGCAAGACCCCGTCTCTGCCAAAAATAGAAAAAGTAGCTGGATGTTGTGGCAGATGCCTGTAGTCTCAGCTACTTGGGAGGTGGAGGCAAGAGGATTGCTTGAGCCCAGGAGTGTGAGGTTGCTGTGAGCTACACCACCACAAGTGCTCTATCTAAGCAGGGAAACAGAGTGAGACTCTGTCTCAAAAAAAAAAAAAAATTCTGTTGTCTTAAATTGCCCAGTTTGTGGTCACTTGTTACAGCATCTATAGGAGGGAAATATGAGTGTCACCTTGCAAGGTGTGCCTCATATAGGTCTTTCTAGGGACTCCAGGTAGGGACACCTCCTCTACACTCTTTAACACATGGGGTATAATCTGGAGCACAAGACAGCGAGTTCACTCACTGACCCCACACCAGGTCTCAGGTCCCTCATACTCCCTACGAGGCCCTAATCTCAGAGTAGAAGATTTTTCTTGGCTGCATGTTCAGTTTTCTTGGAGGTCTGGCTTCCAACACCATCTGCGCTCTGTCTGCAGGAGGTGAGGGTCTCTAAGTACTGTCCTAGATAAATTTCTGGCATTCTCAGCATGCCTCGACTCAGCCTCATCTCCGGCTCCTGAACTTTGGGGCTGGTCATCTCCCCCATGTTCTGCCAGACCACCTTGTCATTGTCCTCGTGGGTGACCTGATGCCACACCCATCCCCAGAATCTGCTTTTTAAGGCCACTTCCAGGACTATCTTAGCCTGGTGTAAGGACTTCAATGCATGCAGTTAATCTGGGAGGTAAGCGGGAGGTGTGCTGGAGGAAGCAGGAAGGAGGAAAAGCCGATGACATCTGTGCCCACTGAGGCACCACATGGAATGTCCCTCAGAACTGTCTTTCTAAGGATGGGGTGCTGGATGTGCCTAGCCAGGTCCCCTCTGCATTGGTGAGGGTGGTGCCCAGGTACCCCCCCCGCCCCAGGCTGCCGTGCACATGGGCAGAACAGCAGCAGACGGGGGGCATCTGGGTGGAGGCTGCTAGTGTGTTCACAGCTATTGCCCAGCTGCTGTGGAGTCGATGGCAGGCTGAGGGCACATGGTGCAGGCCACTGGAGATAGCTGTAGCCCAAGCGTCAGGGCTTCTAGCATAATGAAAGGGAACATGCATCTCTCTAGTATAGCTCCTCTTGCGTGGGCACTTGAAGCACAGGTTCCGGACCTGGCCTGGTGGGGTCTCAGCCCCCATTCACTGTCCATGGATGCTCACTCGGGCAGTTACTTGGCCTCCTGAGCCCAGCGCCTTCCTCTGCAGCATTGGTCAAGGATGGCACCTTCCTCACAGGCTGTGAGCACCCAGGACCTTGCCTGGCACTTGTACCACCAAGTTCTTGTCTTTTATTTTCATCACTTGGCCCAAGGCAGCCACCTGCCCAATCAGACAAGCACCTTCAATACTTAGGTTTGGACACTGTAAGTAGGATTTGCAGCCAGACAATAGCCTTGCTATAGGACTATCCCGAACATTCCCTAAACTCTCTTAGCTCCCACTTGGCATATCCAGGGTCCACCCAGGAGTGGTGTGGTCTAGGATTCACCCTAAGGAAGGGAGACAGCCCTCCTCTGCCCGGCCCCGGGGGCTGCAAGGAGGAGGCGGGCACAGGGTGGCAGAGGAGGAGTCCTGCCAGCTCACAGTGACCCCTTTCACAGATTTTTGCGAACACCAGAGTTGGGGCCTTGATGTTCAGAAAGCTGGTTTGCCAGAAGGCCTTTGGGAAGTGAGAGGGCACAACAGTGTGGCCGATGGTTCTGAGCCTCCAGGACAACCATCCTGGGTCTGCTGGGGCCCAGGAACAGACCTAAGAGGGGGCTGGGAGCTCCACCCAGGCTAAGGGGACAACCAGGCAGTTTGGAAGGCAGCCGCCAGGATGGGTTGTGGGGCCCCCACATCCAGAAAGAGAGTCCACGGCTTCCTTTGGGGAGAGGGTGCTAGGGTCCCTACATAGCCTGTGAACAAGAAGAGCTCATAGCCTCTTCCCCAAGCTGTCTCTATCTCTTCAAGGATGTCTGTAGAGTGAACAGCTTGAAATAATATCTCTCTAGGGCAAACGGTGGGTTTGTTTTTTCTTCATGGTAAAATTTTTGAGTCCCCTTGAGCTCAGAGCAGGTCTCCTATAATGTAACCTGCTGTGTGTGCAGCTGCCACCTGGTGCCCTTGGTGTGGGTCCTGCTGACCTGGTGCAGATACACCTGCTGGTGCCTGGGTGCTTGCTGCCGCTGTGAGTAACAAAATCTTTTGTCTCTGACCCAGAAGTCTTGCATCTTCTGGCTACGGCCTGAGGCTGAGGTGGGCAGACTCACCAGATCCCAGGTCCTTCTCAGCTCTAAAAATCTCCTCAGCCTCGGTGTT